AGCCCGCTAGTTCCTGCCTGGACTTCAAGGGAGTGATGCAATATATTGTCACCAGAACCTTCGGGGCGGAGAGGCCATGTGAAAGGAACTCGAGCAACCTGTGTCCCCCCAAAAGCACATGCCATGTGTTGCTTGATTTCAGAAGTGTATCATATGGGGACAACTCTGACATGTGGCTACTTGGCGTCAGGACCACTTGTCGCTTGTCTGCGTTCCAATGCAGGCCCGCCACCCCCCCACTATAAATATATGTGTAGAAATAAATGCCATCCGAAAATAGAGGGACACCGCAAGAATGCCTTGTTGTCCTTTCATTTTCCGTAAGCCATCATACAGGAGCCACACAAATGGCAACGTTCCCTTGATTTTACCTTAAACCACCATGCTTCCCCCATTGGACACTACCTTTCTTTCGGCTCCATGTAACATCAAGCAATCCGACTCAGACTACTTTACCCCCCGTTCCCCCTCTGGGATTAGCTCCAATCCCATTCCAGAAGCAACTCTTTGGGGAAGATGAAACCAGAACAAACCAGGATACGGGTGCCCTAACCAGGGTGAGCTCCCAAGAAACCACCCAACCTTCGGTTGCCCGGTTGCCTTCCGTCCAGGAGCCGGAGCCCTTTCGGGTGGCGGTGGTGGGCGGGGATCTCATCCAGGTAAGACGGAGGGGGTTCGGGGGCGTTCGGGGGCGGTTCACTGGTCGGGGCGGCTTTGGGGGGTGACACAAAGTCATGGCCAAACAACGCGTCTGTTTTTCTGCTCGTTTTTCCCTTTTTGTTTGCAGGGGGTGTTTGTAGTACGTCCCTTCTATGTACTTCTTGGAGAAATGAGCCACTTTGCAAGCTGCTTCTGCCACATCCCCCCACAAACGCGCACTCAGCTTCCAGCCCCTGACACAGAATTTGCTTGCTCTATATACCCAACACATCATGGTGGTCTGGATGACAAGAAACCACATGAGATTCGCCTCATGGTGACCCTCACGGATCAACGGGGTTTGGGGTCAACAGGGGATGGCATCCAGCCCAAGGTTCCCAGACCCTGGGCTCAGGAGACGCCTCGAAATGGGTGGTGGGTCACCAATAGAATCCCATTTTGGGGTAGGTGCACCACCCATTTTAGAACCTATTTTAGTGGGGATTGGGATGTTCACTGGGGATAACCGGGTTTTTGACCCATGGCCAAATGGGTGGGACGTCTTTTTCTTCCGAGGCCGGCACTCCCTGGAGTTTGCGGCAACCGTGCGGGCGGTCAGCTGGGAACCCAAGACGATCGCGCCGGGGTCTGCCAACAGGATTGAAGCCATTGCATCAGACTCTCGGGTTATGAGAGTCCGGGTTGTGGGATCACAAGGAGTTTCTCCCCACTGTGGTACAAGGGAATCCCCCTTATGAACAAAGTAGTCTTTGGGAAGCCCTTTCTGTTGTATCACAGAAGTGGTCATTCCCACAGCCCTGTGAGTCTGTGAGAGTCTGTGTGAAGCCATTGGAACACATCGGTCTGCCCCAAAATCGAGCAGCCCAGAAGCCACCCATCTCGGGCGCGATCTCTTCTGCCTTCCGGAGGCCGCGCAGGAGCGACTGCAGCTCCGGCCGGGGTCTTGGGAGCACGCCTGCCACTTATGAAGGTCTCTACGGGGGCTGGTGCGAAGTACCTTGTTGAAGATCAACTTGAGCTGAGATCTTATAGGGAACAGTTGGAAGGGTTCATTCTCAAAGGTGTACCAACTAGAATTGGACAAAGGACCCCTTTGGTGGGCGTATGCTAAAGGGGATCAAAGGAAAGGTTGATTCCCTAAATTTTTAAATACTGCAAGCGAACAAAGCGGGAGCAACGACAACCCTCGGGATGTACCACGCTGTCGGGTCCATTGACGTGACACCCCTCCAAATTGTGGTCCCAAAATGCAGTTTTGAGAGCCCCTCAAAACGTGTTCACTATAACCCACTGCTTCCAGAAATTGAAGGTCGCCCAAATGGTAGGGCCGCATTCCAACCCAGGTAGATGCGTCGGCCTTCGACGCAGAGGATGGAAGTGGGGATGAGAAGGGACGCCCGAGGGCACCCAACCGTTTCTAGGGTCCCCATATCAGGCCACGTCTAGGGGTTCTAGGGGTTCCCCCTTTAGCAAGAGTGACTAAAAAAATAAAATTTCAAAAGAATTCCAGGGGTTGGCGTGGGGCATACCAGGGCCCGGCCATGCTTTAACGCCTCCGGCTCAGACCGCCGACATTACAGGTCTACTTTCGCATATGTGTCTTACAGGGACTGTGCGTGTGCACAGGAGAAACTAGATTTGGGAAGGGACCTTCTGTTTCACCTCGTTGGTTCATGTCTCTTTGCCACAGGACATCTATGGCAATGAGCAGACATGGGTGTGGGGGCAACATTTTCTTACATGCGTTTCACACGTGCAGCGCGCGAGCAATGGAAACAGTACAGAAGCTGTGAGCGATGTGGGATTGATCAGGGGCTGGCTGTTTGAAGAGCAAAGATGGCAGGCTTCAAGGGACATAGCTTCAAGAGATTGAGCCTTGACGTGTAGAAACTGATCGATGCCCATAAACGTGTTGCTCGAATGTGCGTATCACGGTTTCTTGCTGATTTCGCCAAAGTGAGGACCGTTTGCGTGTGTGTTTGTGTGTGGGCGCCAGCTCAAACAAACACACCCACATGGGTGTGGCTCAAAATTAAACAGGTTGGGTTACGCAGGTTCTGGTCCATGTTTCCACTTACCCCCCTCCAGACTAACATGGAAGCTCCCAGGACCCCTTTGGAAGACTTGGTGCCATTTACAGAGGCCTTCTGGGAGCTTCCATGTTAGTCTGAGGGAGTGTACCAGGGTTCCATTCCGGGTGCCGGTTTTTTGACTTGTGGCGTCCTCCCGGGTCCCGGGCGCTTGTGGTGCGGCGCGGTGGGCGGGGCGGTGGGCGGTGGGCGGTGGGGCGGTGGGCGCCAGGAGCTCACGGCGCTCTTCGCGGAGGCGCAAGTGCACATGGCGGCCTGGGCCTGAGAAGGGCGGGCGCGGCAGAATGGCCAGCCCTGAGGTTTTACTGCACACACATATATATATATATATACACACATACATACACACATGTATTTAGATGCGCCCCGCCCCCCAAGAAGCAGCCATTTTGTGGCAACGGTCTAACAACTCTAAATTTCAGACCTTTATGCTACGAAAGGCCATAGTGTAATCAACAGTAGTAGCAATGCAAATCCTATTACAAATTCAAACTAGACGATCCGCTTGATCTTTTTCCGTATCAGATTCGCTTCGAAATTGTGTTCGTATTCAAGTTCAAGTTTAAATGCGAACTCACATGGAGTCTCTTTTTTTCTCCTTGTAAAGATCCATTGAGCATGTAGACACATTTAATCTATGTCATACCTGGGAATGAACTTCTATTTAGTGTTTTGTTAAATGCCAGTTGAACATTTGAATTTCTCTTGGAATTTCTGCTTGAACATATAGGTTCTGGTGAACTCTGTCCTTACTAAATTCTATTCAAAAATCCCAACTCAAATTGAAGTAGAATCCCATTTGGGATGGAAATCACTCTTGGATGTTTCGGAGGACTCCGGGCTCCAAATTATGAAGCCAAAATCTATTTCAGACAGGAAGTCATAGTTCATGCTATCACGAAAGGCGGAGGTAGTAGATGAGCAGATGGTAGTTCGTGGGAGGAGGGAAAGGGTGTGTGTATGTGAACACGTTTTTACACACATGCACCCCTCATGAACCTGCACCTCTTCATAAAACATTGAAAAATCCAGTTTTGCTGAGCTTTGCCCCTACCTTTTGTACCTCCTTGAAAAGGGTCAAGATGGGCATAGCTTACATGAAGCAAACAGCTCACCAACAACACTTGAGCGTTTTTTTCCACCGGATCGCCAAACACTTGAACGTATTTTATGCTACTGGATTGAATATTCAAGATTGACGATTGCACAGAACACTTTTCCGAGAATCTTCAATCCGGTCCAACCCCAAAGAGCTTTCAAGTTTTTCCTTCTTTTTTTTAATATTGACAGAATTTGAGCGTTTGATTGAAGATTTCAGATTGACGATTGCACAGACCATCTTGCCGAGAAGTTTTCCATCCTGTCCAACCCCCGCAAAATTTGCAGCTGTTCCTATCAACTCTAATGTATTTCTGACGATTGAAAATTGAAGATTGCACAGAAAGCTTTTCGGAGAATCTTGTCCTCGTACTTTGAATGCAGCCGTTGCGGGAACTAGACAAGCTGGGAGGGTTGCAGTGCATTTGACTGCAGACGGACGCGCACACTTGGTCGAAGAAGCGCGCGTCGGACACCTGGAGTATTGGGACAACACCAGATGTATTGTATTTCTCTTAAACTATGGGATTGACGATTCAAGACTCCCAAACTGTTTTTTTTGCTCACATTCTTGATTCAACAAAGCTAGTGTGTCCCAATACTCCTGAGACGCATGCAGACACCTGGCAGATGGCAAATGGTCACATCATTGTTTACATACATATATATATATATATGATCTAGCTTTTTCTTTTTGAATTTATTTTACATTATATACACATGGCGCACTCACACACACACACACACACTCACCGCATTCTGCCACAAAATCAACAATGCAAGAGAGGCACAGCACACTGGGCAAATGCAGCAACAACTGACAAAACTCGGGTCCATGGGGGGGAACCATATATAAAACCTATATTTACGCACGTTTGAAAACCGCTCGATGCACGAAGCCGGTCTCAAGGTGTCGGCAGGCAGCGGAGATGCCACAATGCACGAGGCGGTGATGCTGCCATGGCTTGCGCGTTCCAAGACCAAGACGAGCATGGGTTCCAACCATTTCCGCAAGGCCCTGTATTTGTCATTGTTGTTGGTTCCGACAGGGTCTGGCCCTTTGACCTTTTTGCGCCCATGGAAGATGAACAAGCCAAAAAGAAGGCTGCCTTCCCCATCTTCCTTCGTTTCACTGAAACAAATCTAAAGAAGTTGAGGAAGCCAGTATCATCATCATGACCCCGCCCTCCGCATGGGGTGTGGGTGGCGGGCGCGCCCAACAGGGAGCAGATGTGGGAAGAGAGATAGCGGCAGAGAATCCATACCTCAGGGAAGCGTGCGTATTTCCCGTGGTGCCCATTTTCTAGTTGGTTTCTTTTCATGAAACCCAACCTCTCAAAACAACATCCCCCGCAGAGGGACAGCTGAAGGACCATTTTCGTCCAAGTACCATGGCCGCGTGTTTCCCACGCACCCCTCCCTCCCCACCTACCCCTCCCACCGTGATCACCGAAGGCTCCTGAGGCTCCCCCCCCTCGGCTTTTTGCAGGCCGCGCGGTGCCTGGGGAAGCCGGCGGCCTCTGCCGAGAATTTGGCGGCCGAAGGCCGAGCGCCGATGTTGGAGTTGGGTGCCCACGTTTCCCCAGGAGGGGGGGGGGGTTCGAGGGAAACTGTAGGGCAAGGAACATACGTCCTTGACTTCTTTTCTTTTTTTGCGTGTGTCTGTGTGTGTGTGTCCGTTTTTTTGGAGGGTGCCGCAGTTTGAAATTGAGGGTTCCCCCATCTAGGACACCCGAATGGTTAGCTGAATGGTTAGCTGGAGATCTTGTGCAACGGTCCCCAAAGGACTAGGTGTTTAGGAGTCGATTAATCGATCCAAATAGCCCGTCCCTTCTGTGTTGTTTTCTGGATTGAAGGATGCCTGGCAAAAATAGGGAAGTTACCCCTTTCGAGATTCGCCCAGTTTTAACATTCCCCAAAAAGCTACTCGAGGCATGGAGAGCTCTTGTAACAGCAGGGCCTGTGGGGCTTGCGGTTGTCATCAGTCTTTCACATGGGTGGGTCCGCTAGTCAAAACCAAAACCAATTCAGGTACTTGGAGGACATGCCCCACAGATCAAATACCCTCCCACCCGCAGATTTCACCTTCTTGAACCTGGGGGAAGGTGCGGGAATTACCTTGGGAGCGCACAGTTTGTCTTCCTGTACTTGGAGAAGGGCGAGGCACTTCTTAGGTGATCCGGGCTAACCTTCACTGTTCTCATCCGACGCAAGCTTATGACCTGTTCAGCCCACCAAGAGGCGCAGTACGGAGACTAGGCCGGCCAGGAGGTCTACAGGTTTTTTACGCGTCACCCGGGATTCGCGAAAACCGTGCTGCTCCAAGAAGAGAGTCTCACATTCTGCCCCTTGCGAGACGAATGATGCTGAAATGGAAGTTGACGTTCTCCCAACAGTTTCTGGATTCTGAAACACTCATTTGTGAAGACCCAATTTCAGGGCTACGCGCGTCAATCTTCAGGGGAGCACCATTCATGTTCGGAGGCGGGCTGCTCACTATTCGGGCTGCCCACTATTCGTCGCCTGAGAGAGGAGAGAATTTGATGTTGGTTCCGCACAGGCTCTGCGTCTGACGTTCCAGGCTGGATGACTGAAGCACAAGATAGGTCCTCTCCAGGGGTCCATAGTGTCTTTTTGTGCGGAGGTTGAACATCTCCCTTTTTGCCAATTAAAGACTAGTCTCTTTGGGGTGTTTAAAAGGGAAATGTAACAAACGGATTTTTCACTGGGAATCGCCCACAACTGGGGACCAAAAGCGAAGAAGCTGTTGGCTGGTTTCGGGCCATACTCTCGTCGAGAGGGCTGGTGAATTGAAGCGGTGCGATCATTTGAGCTTGCTTATTCAAGCACCGTCAAATATGGCTGTGGGTCAAAACCAATGGTACTATTTTAGTGGGGATTGGGATGTTCACTGGGGGGCTAACCGGGCTTTTGACCCCTGGCCATATCATTGTGCTGTGTGCTTGGCATTCTTCGTCACCTTGAGCGAGGCCTTTGGACTTGAGGGGGGTGGGCCGCGAGTGAGGGGAGTGCGCAGCTGTCGAGGTGGACCGGACGACTCAAAGCCTTCGATGATGCTTTTCGCGCACGGGCTCAGGGGAATGGATCGATGGATCGCCGCACCTTGCATACCTTGTGCACAGCGTGTGCAGCGAAAGGTTGGTGGGGTTCTGCGGCAGGGCAACAGGTTCAGGAGAGACACGTTCAGGGTTTTCTGCTCGCCACCAAGGCTTCCACTCAGAAACCCATCAAAAAATCAGAAGCCTGAGGGCCCTGAAGGGGGCCCTGAAGGACCTGAATCTGGGGAGGTGGGAGATGCGCCCCAGGCCCTGGGCCTCGGGTTTTCTCGTCTCGGAGAGCGCTGAGGCGCGGTCGCCGCTGGGCGGAAGCCGCGCGGCGGAGGTGCCGGAACAGGCGCTCACCGCACGCCCGGGGCCTGAGCTGCTGCTCCTTGGGTCTGTGGGGTGAGGTGACGCTGTGGATGGACGAAATCCAGGCATGGGAAAGGATTGGTTGGGATTTGCGGGGGAACCATCATTCGAGGGTTTCTTAGGTTGTGCAGGATTCCGTCCATCCGCAGTAGGCAGCCAAAGAGCGTTGCAGGATGATGATGGTTTTAAGCAGTTTGGGCTATTCTAGTTAGGTGTTGGACCTCTTGTCATTCTCAGAGAGCTAGCTCTCAGTTAGTTGCCGTAACACCGAAGTTCCTGCCAAACTGCCATGATGAATTTCTGTGCGCAGCAGACGCAGGCCAACACTTGGGGATGTGTGTATTTCATTTTTTACTTTCCCAGGGCCAAGGAATCTGTAATCCGTGCAGCTGAGTAACTCTCCAAGCACAAGAATCTTAACGAGCCTTCTATTCCGCTTCCCCCAATGAAAAGCCCACCCTCCCCAGTAACAAAAGAACCCAGTTCCAGGTTTGGCTGTCCAGTCTATTCTTTTCGTCCACTTCTGGCGGGGGAGGTCATGCAGGACCAAAAAGTGTTCCAGGACGACGTGTTCATACCTGTGTATTTTAAGTAGAGGAGTTTTTTAAAGGGAAGCCACGACATTTGTTCCCAAAAAGAGATATTAGCGTGAAGTTTCCGCGTTGCGCAGCTCAGAAGAGTAAATTGTAAACGCTTCGCGTTGCCCGCCTCGGCCCAGCCTAGTTTGAGGGAAGGGTCAGGAACACCGAAATCCAGTGTTGGGAAGGTCCGAATACCTGAAGCTGGCTTCAGACAAGTCAGACAAGCCGGCCTCGCCTGGTTGGGCTGGGCCACAGGCCAGTCTCAGACACATCAGATAAGCCTGCGCTGGGCCTGAAGCTAGTCTCGGGCAGCTTGGCTGGACCTTGCTTGCGTGGGTTGTTGGTTGAGCTGAAGCTAGTTTACGGCGGGCTGGGCAGCCGCACTGAGGGGGCTGGGCTATGGCTGGGCCAGTTTCAGACACGTCAGACAGGCCTGGCCAGCAGGCGGACTGGGGCTGGGCTAGACGCTAGTTGAGCCCAGGCTGGTGAGGCCCAGTCTCGGCGCTAGATAGCCTGCGAGTCTCAAACCGGGTGGGCTTGGGTGGGGTTGGCTTAGGTAGTCTCAGCCACGAGGCTGCGAAGCCATGGGTGGTGCTGGGCAGCTGGATTATGGTGTTGGTTGCGCCTGGAACTTCGGCTGGCTGGGCTGAGCTGTGCTTGGGCGGGTCGCTGGATGGGCTGAGGCTGGGTAGCGAGTTGCTGGCCAGGCCGGGCCTGAGCCCAGTCGCAGACACGTAAGACACGCCAGCAGGCGGGCTGAGGGACTGGGCCTGAGGCTAGTCTCAGGCTGGCATACCTTGAGACCAGTCTCAGACTGCGCTGAAGGGGCCTGGTCAGCCTGGGCTGCTGAGTAGCTGGCATAGCTTGAGACCAGTCTCAGACTGGTCGTTGGCCTGAGGCCAGTCTCAGACACGTTAGACAAACCACACTGGGCTGAGCCTGCTGGTCTGGGAGTTGGGGGCTGGTAGTGGCTGGCATGCTCTGAGATGCGCTGGGGCCTGGGCTGGGCAGGCTTTTGGGCTGGGCCTGAAGCTAGTCTCACACAAGGCTGCGAAGCCATGGGTGGGTTGCTGGCTGCCGGGCAGCCGGACCAGGCTGCTGGTTGTGCCTGGAACTTGGGCTGGGCGGGCTGGGCTGAGCTGTGCTTGGGCGGGTTGCTGGATGGGCAAGGCCTGTTTCATACACACTTGGGCCTGAGGCTGGGTGGCGAGTTGGCTGGGCTGGGCCTGAGGCCAGTCGCAGACACGCCACACTTTGAGACGGGGCCTGCTGGCTGATTTGGGGCCAGACGCGAGCAGGAGGTCAAGGTCTGGCCAGCCTGGGCTGAGTTGCTTGGGCAGCCGGACTGAGGGCTGGGCCACGTCAGACGGGCTTGGTGGCTGGCATAGCTTGAGACCAGTTTCAGACACCGTTGGCCTGAGGCCAGTCTCAGACACGTTAGACAAACCTGACCTTGGGGCCGGCCTGGCTGGGCTGGGCTTGCTGGATGACTTGGGGTAGGCCTGAAGCTTGGGCCTGAGGCTGGTGGGCTTTGGGCTGGGCCTGAGCCTAGTCTCAGACACGTCAGGCAAGCCTGGCCACCAGGAGGTCATGCTTTTCAGGACAAAAAAGCATTTTTAGCAATTGTCAGCACATTTTCGACAAAAATGGACCCATGGAGCTGGACGCCGACGAACCCCGAAAATTTCAAGGCCCGCCGGACAGGATTTTGGGTCCAGCCGACATGGGTTGGGGGGGGCGGCCCGGCAAAATTTTGGTCGGGGAGGGGGTTGGGGGAGGGGAAAAGCGAAGATTCTCTTTGGAGAAGAGATCTGAGCGCCCTTGGCCCCTTTGGGGCCGAGGCGAATTCCTGGTGATGGGTGTGGGTTGCTGGCCTCACTTCTTGGTTGGATTTGTTCGGATTTGTCCGCCAAAGCGCCAAAGCTGGTCGGGGCGGGTGGGGGTGGCCAAATGTTCTCCCCGTCCGACAAATGCGTACATTTTGTGGAACTTGAAAGGGCCGCCGCACGAGTGACTCGGAGTTAGCCAGCCAAGTGGGTTGGGGGACGCTGTAACGCTGGGTGCACGGTTGACTTGGGCAGTCTGGTCGAAACTTGCCATTCAGGTCTCGCGCGAGCCAACTCCGCCTGGAACTTCGCCGAGGAGGATGTGGTGCGCAGAGGGCCAATGTTCTTTGGTCACAAGCGGAAGTTGCACATGGACAAGTACTCAGAATACGAATGGACGAGTTCCCTAGGCACTTTGCCGTCCAGAGATTTATTATTCCTTGTGGGCAATGGTTCGGGGCTGTGAGTCTTCAGCGCAAAAGTGCTGGGCTATGTGCAATAGTCCTTGTTACTCCGTCTTGGGTGTCGCATTCTAAAAAGGTCCTCCTCGCCTTATTCTGCTCGCAAGCTGACATTAGTTTCAGGCTTGCGCAAAATTACATGACCGAGGCCTTCCTGCTTCACTATTCTGTCTCCCGATTTTGCTGGTGCTCTTTCTGCAAGGATCTACTTCTGCCTGTACTTGCTCCACACTGCCTGGTGACCGCCCTCTCTTGGCCACCCTCCTCCTCAGCATCGCTCTTACCTTCCGCTTCCGGCAGCAGCCGTGTTTTGGCATCAGCTCACTACAAGTGGGCCGGCCGCAGGGGCTGCCAGAGAGGCTTGCCAGGAGACCAAGGAGACAGTGGTCTTTGCACAGCCACGAATCCCGCATCAGGGGCACGGATGATTTTTGAAGGCGGCCAGGAAGATCACCCTGGAGCAAGCGGCTGGGAGCGTTCCTGCTGCAGTCTTGTCGCCTTTTTGCTGGGTGGCCTTGCGCTTAAACAAAACAAATCACTCTTGGGGTAAATCTGAAGTAATGGATCCTTCGGGAGTGGTGAAGGTTGAAGGGCAGACACGATGAGATTGCGGGGAGGAAGCCCAACGTTGCTCGTTCTGATTCGGGGTGACACGAGGGCGTTTGAGCGTTCCCCTTTGGGAACCTTGAAGTGGGTGGTTTCCTCTCGGCTTCCCTTTAGGAGAGCCCTGACAAGCGCACCCTTCAACCGATGGCTGACTCGCGTGACAGGCATAGCTTTTTCTTCAGCATCACTTTCGTCGCGCCCCAACAGGGGTTTTCAATTGGAGGTTGGCCATTGTCATTTGGGAAGCCCAAACAAGATTCCGGCTGTTTAGTTACCTAGTTCATGCCATGTATGCCATGAAATTATTTTATGTCATTTGCGTCATTTACGTCTCTTATGTCCTTTATGTGGTCCTGTTCTGCATGTCCACACTGCCAACTGGCATGTTGTGGGGAGGTGGCGGTGTCCGCTCCCTGCAGTGAGCGTGTGTGATTCAGAGTAGTGGGCCTCCAAATTGGCTGCTTTTCTGCGAGTAACAGTTACAAGAGGGTCAGCCATTTTGAGAAACACTCTATTAAATAAACCTTGATAGTATTAGCGAATCTTTAACGTGCCAATTTGATTCATGTGGCCGTGTTTTTCGCGGGAGCCATTAGCATGTATTTCGGGGTTCAAACAGAAGACCTTCGGAAACCTCGCACCTCCCAACAAAGCAACGTGGTCGGATGCACGCGATATAAACGATCTCGGGACCCAGCAGCCTCACTGCATAAGAATAGATCCTATTCCTCGAGCCTAGGGCTTACTTGGTGCTCAAACGTTCGGTTAAACCCCAAACACGTTCGGAGAAGGACCAGACAAAAGGACCAAACCAGGCGGTTATACCGTGGATGGACGACCTCCCACCCCGCACCACTTTGAAACCACGGTTGAAACTATGGTTTCTTGGAATTTCAGGGGAACTGTCTCATTCCAGGGTTGCTGAACGGTGGTGCCATAGGTGTCCTTTTAGGTGAGTTTGGCTACAAATAGATGGGTTCCACTGGTTTAGATGGGTTTTATCCCATTCACCAATGAAACCCATCTATTTCTATCCAAAAGGCCACTTTCTTGGCTATTTACAGGGGAACTGAATCATTCCGACTGTCATTCCAGGGTTCTGAACGGTTCATTGCATGGATTTCGCCACCATCCACGCGGCGCCTATGGGTGGTGCGACTGAATCATTCCAATTTTCATTCCAGGGTTTCTGAACAGTGCGTTGCATGGATTTCGCCACCATCCACAGTATTGACTAACCGATTTTTTCTGTTTTGCGCGGGGAGGTACTGTCCCTGGGCCTGGACGCGGGTGACGCCACCTCGCTGGTGGACGCGCTGGAGGCGCCGCTGGCGGCCGGCGCGGCGGTGGAGCTGGCCCAGGTGGACGCCGTGTGGGCCAGGGGGCCCCAGCAACAAACACGGGCGGTCAACATCTTGGCGTGGGTCAAAATTTTGAACCACCAGGATGTGGACCGCAGATTTTAGTCCATGTTTCCATTTACCAGGGTTCCATTTTGGGTACCTATTGTTGACCCACAGCCATCTTGGCGTGTGTTTCATAGGGCTGGATCCAACGTTTGTTGTGTTTTGAAGGTCTCGATTCTTTTAATCTGTATAGTTGTTTTTGGGAGTTCTGAAGGTGCACTGTTTGGGTTTGGTCAAGATAGCCCGCTTGTTGGAGGTACCCATTTAGGGATTTTAAAGGGAAATCACAGGGCAAGCCATCCCCTGAAATGGGGGGGTGGTTTTCCGGTTTCTCTTTGGTTTCCAATTTGAGCCTTTCCCCGCAAGGGTACCAGCCGCAAAACAGCACACCCATGTCCGGAACATGTGTACTTCGGATTCGCCAAAACGAGGACCATACGAATCCGAGGTGGATTCATTTTTGCGTGCGATTCCTCGCAGCAAAAACCACTCCCGAGTTAGACCCTTTCCTTGTACATTTTGATTGACTCAGCTGAGTGCCGGAGTGACAGATGATTGGTTGTTTGGGGAGGACATGCGGGGAGCCCCAACACCCAACTGCCCATGTCATGGGGGGGAAACCATTTCTGCCCGCTTGTGCTTTGCCGGGTGTGATTGCATGTGAAGGTGACTTCGAAGGTGAGAAAGCAAGCACCAAGCACCGGACAGTCGGCCTTTAGCATATCCAGTTACGATGTTTGTAGTGCACCATTGACGGTCCATGATTTATCATTTGGCATGCTGCAGGAGTTTCAAGCATCACCTGTTCGGTTCGGTTTCGCTTGGTAGCGGTGATGGTGTAAGGGCAAGCACAGGGAACCTTCAGTTGGCTAAAGTCGCCAACCAGTTGATAGCAACATGTTGATTGGCACATCCGCCTTCAGGCCGGTTCAAATACCGCCGTTGCTAAAGGAGTTCTCTTGGCCGATGCTTGGGTTTAGATGAGTGACAACTTGGGAATTTGTCCATGAGCGCAAAATGGGCGGGGTAACGATCTTGGGCCTAGGGCTGGTAGAAAAAAACGTATTGCAGAGATGTGAGTCGGGTTGGGGAAGTTGGCGGTAAGTGGGGGGCGGGGGGAGGGGACTTTTCCTTGCTGTGCACCCGAGGACTTGTGGTCCACGCTGGAATCGACCACGGCTACGGTGGTTTTTCTGGACTCGAGGTCAGCCCAGAAAACCAGAAGAGACGCGGCCGAGGGGAGCCGGGGATTTATGCTGGCAGTTTGGAAAGTGAGGGAAGGACCAGATCGGAAAAATGAGTTGGACCAATATCACTGTTTGGATGCGCGGGAGCCGGGGATTAGCCAGAGCCAGTTCTGATTTAGTTGCTAATTTTGGAGGGTAGCCTCTAACCCACGACTTCTTCCAAATTCAGGTTGTCCCGTTGACCCTCCCAATTTTGCGACATTCCCCCCCTAGAACGATTCTAAGGCCCTTTTCGATCATAATCCCGTCCAAGCGGCCCAACCCTTGGTAAAAGGACGGCTACTGTGTATACATACAGTTGAGCTTTTGTTGGGGTCACGTTTTTGCGCGTTTCATATCAGGTGGTGCTGGCAGCTGGCGCAAACGCATGGCTCCCTGGCGGCCCCCGTGCGCGCCAACCTCCAAGCCCGGAGCCGGGACAGGCCGGCTTCGTTTTGGGCGGTTTGAAGGCGTTGGGGTTTGGGGGGCGTTTGGCTTGGGGGGAATAGAGCCTATTTGACCCACTGCTGGTAAAGAATGTTTTGAGATGGATGATTTTGAAGGGAAGCAGTCCACCATGCAACTGTGGGTGCTGCTTGATGATGATGCTGCTCCTGCTAGTGGTGGTGGTGGTGGTGGTGGTGTGGTGCGACGATGACGATGACGATGACGATGACCTCGCTCAACCCCTGTTTTCAGGGGTGCCTTGCGCGGACTTCAAGCAAGTGTCAATCCGTACTCCTTGCTTCAGTGGGGTGCAGAAGGGCCAAGGTGGAGCACTGGCTTGAATGACCAGCCTCCTTCAAGGGATGTTTTGCAACCAGGTATTGTGTGAACATCATGTGTAGGCCAGGGTCCGAGAATTGTGTTGCCGCCACCACGGTGCTCATGGGCGAATGCTTGTGAATTACATATGCGGGGTCTTGTTTCACCAAACGTCGCAACTCCCTCGCCAGGCCCTTCCGGCACATGGTTGCGGTGGCGCCTGCCGGAACCGTTCTGTCCGAGGAGCTTGTTTTTCCTTGGGGGGTAAACATGTGGTTTTGTTGTTCCTTTCTGGCGGTGGGGCCAAACATTTTGGTTTTGTTTCAAAACAGACGTCCAGAATCCCTTCATTCCCTCCCAGTTTTGAGCCTTTTCCCAGGTATTGGCCATTCCTTTTCACGGGCCATGGATTTGAATGGAGCCCTCCCCCCTTTAAGCAGTACTGGTACCAACCTTAGATTCTGGGGTCAGCGAATACCCAAGTCTCGTAAATATACATAATATATATATAATATATATATGTTTCTCCTTTGGTTGGCATATATACATATATATCTCATGTTGTCCTTTTGGTTGACATATATCTCATCTTCATCCTTTTGGTTGACATATATATGTATATGTACAAATTTTCTCCTTTTGGTTGGCACATATCTCATTGTTCTCCTTTTGGTTGGCATATATCTCATTGTTCTCCTTTTGGTTGATATATATATATATAGATATATACATATGCATATATATGTATGTATGTATACATATATATATATATATATCATTTTTCCTTTTTGTTGGCATATACCTCATTTTTCCCTTATGGTTGGCATATATTTCATTTTTATCCTTTTGTTTGGCATATATCTCATTTTTCTTCTATTGGTAGCCATATATCTCATTTGTCTCCTTTTGGTTGGTATGTATATATACATATCATTTGTCTCCTTTTGGTTGGCATATATCTTAGTTTTCTCCTTTGGGTTTGAATTATACATATATATATATCATTTGTCTCCTTTCGGTTGGCATATATATATATAGACATATATTTTTGTTCCTTTTGGTTGGCGTATATCCAATGTTCCTCCTTTTGGTTGGCATATATATATATATCATTTTTCTCCTTTTGGTTGGCATATATCTCATGTGTCTCCTTTTGGTTCAGAATATATATATATATACATATATATATATATACATATATATATATATACATATCTCATCTTTATCCTATATATATATACATATACATATATATATATATATATATCATGTTTATCCTTTTGGTCGGCACATATCTCATTGTTCTCCTTTTGGTTGGCAAATATGTATACACATATATGTGTACCTGATGTTTCTTCTTTTGGTTGGCATATATGTCATTGTTCTCCGTTTGGTTGACATGTATATATATATATACACACAGACTTATATGTAAATATACATATAATATATATATATATATGCTTTTTCTCCTTTGGTTGGCATATATACATATATATCTCATGTTTTCCTTTTGGTTGACATATATCTCATCTTCATCCTTTTGGTTGACATATATATGTATATGTACAAATTTTCTCCTTTTGGTTGGCACATATCTCATTGTTCTCCTTTTGGTTGGCATATATCTCATTGTTCTCCTTTTGGTTGATATATATATATACATATATATATATGTATGTATGTATGTATACATATATATATATACATATATATATATATAATTTTTCTTTTTCGTTGGCATATATCTCATTTTTCCCTTATGGTTGGCCAAATTCTCTTTTTTTTGCAGGAAAGACACCGAACAGCAGCCACCATTTGGCCTAATTCCGTTTGGGCCGCTTCTTGCTCCCTAGGACCTGGCTCAGGCCTGGCAGGAGATCTTCCAGTGCAGCTTGACCTGGCACTTCAGCTGTGCCGAGGCCCGCCGATAGCTCGAGCGCAGCGGGCTTTTTTGTTGGCCAGGTCTGCTTAAAGCTACAGGCTTAAGGGCCCCTTGTAGGTGAAGGCTGAAGTTGGCTACGGCCAAGCTTGTGGACCGAATAGGGTTTTCGTCCCTTTTTTCCTGTTTGGAACACCCCCAAGCATTGGGCGGTTTCAATGGAAACCACCAGGAAGTTGATCAACTTTTGAAGGGGAACTCCTGTGACCACTGTTGTTTGTTGATTGTTTTTTTTCTGCGTGCCAGGGATTCGAACCCCACGACTGGATACATCAGATCCGCGCCATGCGATCGCACAATGTCGGTGGGATTGGTATGAAGTACAATATTCATTGGGTTTCATCCATTTTACCTGGCCCTCAACAGGGGCTTGCGGACCTCATGGAACTCTTGAAGGGGGAGCGGGTGGCCCTGAGCTTCCCTAAGCCTTCCACGAAACATGCTAACCCTGGCAACCAAGGGCCCAGCCAAATCCCAAATCCGCACGCTGGAAGTTTTGTCCTGCAGCCGCTATGGACCAAATGGACAGTGCCTGCAAACATGTGCCCTGGCCCATGCAACAACAGACACCTCCCCATCTTTCCAGACCCAAGAAAAAAGAACACACCGAACAGCCAGGACGAAGTTGGCTGCTCTGCGCACGTTTTGCAAACGCTTCCGGCAATGGGAGCACCTGGGCTTTCGATGTTTTCCGCCGGGCCCTGAGACCAATGACTTGAGCCGGTTTCGGCGTGTCCGCAGTGATTCAAACTGAGGCAACCTTCAGTGGGTGGTTTGGATTGGAGGTTTGGGGATTTGAACCCCAGGCTTTTGTGGAAGGATGTGGAAGGTAAATGGGAACCCCTCCTGAATTTACCAAACCACCAATCCAAACCACCAATTCGAGGGAAGCTGAAACTTGGTTGACCATGGGGTCCACGAAGATTTCGTGCTCATGAGCACATTTGTAGCAACATGACGATGATGGTCAACCCCTGCATTTGAGCGGCTGATGCCCGGCATCGATTCCGTTAGTGTGTCAAGGGAACTCTTGTGGATGGTGTTTGAAGTAAACCAACCACTGTTTGGGCCCCCTCCAGATTGCCATCAGGAAGGGGTGGGGCGAGGGAACCCCGGTTGGGTGAGTTTGAAGAAGAACCCGCTTTTTGAGACACACCGCACCTTGGTCGGGGAAAGCGCCCGGCTGACCATTTCCCCCACCCCTCCCCCACCTGACTTGGCATCATCATCTTTCCAGAGACCAACGATTTCAGGGAGCAAATGGCCATCTTGGTGGCCCATGCAGAAGCCGGGGATGACTTTGGGTTGGAAGCCGCGGGCTTTCTCTGAGAGGATGTGGCAGACTGAGGCCTTGTGCCTGGCACTGGCTCGCCCTCTCCTAGCCGAGGTGCGAGATGCCCGCCGATTTGGAGAATTCCGGGGGCGATGGAAGTCGGAATTATTGGAGGTGACGCGTGTTTGGACAATGATTTCTTTTTGCAGTTTCCCTCCCTCCCGCCGGCGCTATGTTGGCAATCTGCAACTTCCCTCCCTGTGCACTTGGAAGCAGCTTGAGGCAGGTTGGAGCAGGGTGAAGCACGTTGAAGCAGGTTGGAGCAGGTTGAAGCAGATTAAACCAGATTGAAGCAGGTTGGCGTAGGTTGGAACAAGCTGAAGCAGGTCGAGGTTGCAGCAGGTTGGATTAGGTTAAGCAGGTTGAAGCAGGGTGGAGAACGTTGAAGCAGGTTGAAGCAGGTTGAGATTGAAGCAGGTTGAAGCAGGTTGAGATTGAAGCAGGTTGAAGCAGGTTGAGATTCAAGCAGGTTGGAGCAGGTTGACGCAGGCTGAAGCAGGTTGGAGCAGGTTGAAGCACGTTGGTGCAGATTGAAGCAGGCTGAAGCAGGTTGGAGAAGGTTGGAACAAGCTGAAGCAGGTTGAGGTTGCAGCAGGTTGGATTAGGTTGAAGCAGGTTGAAGCAGGTTGGAGCACGTTGGAGCAGGTTGAAGCAGGTTGAGATTGAAGCAGGTTGAAGCAGGTTGAGATTCAAGCAGGTTGGAGCAGGTTGACGCAGGCTGAAGCAGGTTGGAGGAGGTTGAAGCACGTTGGTGCAGATTGAAGCAGGCTGAAGCAGGTTGGAGAAGGTTGGAACAAGCTGAAGCAGGTTGAGGTTGAGGGGTTGGATTAGGTTGAAGCAGGCTGAAGCAGGTTGGATGAGGTTGAAGCAGGTTGGAGCACGTTGGAGCAGGTTGAAGCAGGTTGATTTTGAAGCAGGTTGAAGCAGGTTGAGATTCAAGCAGGTTGGAGCAGGTTGACGCAGGCTGAAGCAGGTTGGAGGAGGTTGAAGCACGTTGGTGCAGATTGAAGCAGGCTGAAGCAGGTTGGAGAAGGTTGGAACAAGCTGAAGCAGGTTGAGGTTGAGGGGTTGGATTAGGTTGAAGCAGGCTGAAGCAGGTTGGATTAGGTTGAAGCAGGTTGGAGCACGTTGGAGTTGGTTGAAGCAGGTTGATTGAGATTGAAGCAGGTTGGAGCAGGTTGAGGCAGGTTGGAGCAGAGCGCGTTGAAGCAGGTTAGAGTAGGTTGGAGCAGGTCGAAGCAGGTTGAAGCAGGCGGGAGTGGGTTGAAGCAGGTTGAGTGAAGCAGGTTGGGCCAGGTTGAAGCACGTTGAAGCAGGTTCGAGTAGGTTGGAGCACGTTGGAGTAGGTTGGAGCAGGTTGAAGCAGGCTGAAGTAGGTGGGAGTAGGTTGGAGTAGGTTGGATAAGATTGAAGCAGGTGGAGCAGGTTGGAGCAGGTTGAAGCAGGTTGAAGCAGGTTAGAGCATGTTGGAGCACGTTGGCGTAGGTTGAAGCAGGTTGATTGAGATTGAAGCAGGTTGGAGCAGGTTGAGGCATGGGTTGGAGCAGATTGATGCCGGTTTGTGTAGGTTGGAGTAGGCTGGAGCAGGTTGAAACAAATTGAAGCAGGTTGGAGCACGTTGGAGTAGGTTGAAGCAGGTTAAAGCTGGTTGAGATTGAAGCAGGTTGGAGCAAGTTGGAGCAGGTTGGAGTAGGTTAGAGCAGGTTAAAGCAGGTTGGAGCAGGTTGAAGCACGTTGAAGCACGTTGAAGCAGGTTGGAGTAGGTTGAAGCAGGTTTAAAGCAGGTTGAGATTGAAGCAGTTTGGAGTAGGTTAGCGTAGGTCGGAGTAGGTTGAAGCAGGCTGAAGATGGTTGGAGTAGATTTCAGCAGGCTCAAGCAGGTTGGAGTTGGTTGAAGCACGTTGAAGCAGGTTGGAGTAGATTTCAGCAGGTTGGAGCAGATTGTGTTTGAGGTAGGTTAGCGCCTTCAGCCGAAAGTTGATCGAGTCTTCCAACTGCCTTTACCGAAGCACCGCTTTTCAGCACCGCCCTGGTCCACCCGGTCTGGTCGAATCTACCACTCGACCGCGCCCAACAACTCAGTCGCCAGGTGCGGCTTCCGCCGGTCGGCGCGGAGCTCCGGGAGGCCCCAAGGGGCTTTTCCCGGGTGGGAACGAATGCACTACAAGCTTTTGGTGGATTAAATCGGAAAAAACAACAGTGGCTAGGGGTCGAAATTGAACCACCAGGTTACATTTTCCAATGTTCCATTTTGGATACCTATTTTTGACCCGCAGCATTTTGGATACCTATTATTTGACCCGCAGCCAGATAGCTGCTTTTGCCACTCTTCGCATGACTTGGTTCAGTTCCAAACCCACATTCGAATCATGTGGGCCCTCACATTGCGAGAAAAGTAAACGAGATATGACCTTTGGGCAGGCAAGTTTCATGGTGAACCTTTTGCTGTTTGGAGGGGCTGAACGATCGCTTTGGACTTTTGGTCAGGCGCCTGTGCTTCGCTCGGAAGCCGGAGTGGCGAATGTCTCCTTGAGGCACAGCGATTGGTGTCGTTTCGGATTTTGCGAGAGAGGTTCCTGCGGGGGGCGGGGGCGGGGGTGGATGATGCTGGTCGCTCAAATTTGCGGGTGGGTTTGCCAAGTCTTTTGGAGTGGACTGAAGTAGGCCAAGTCGTGATAGTGGACAACTGCACCGGAGAACTTACTGCAGACGATTCGGATCTGTTTTGAAGCCTGAGGTATTTGGATATGTCATTGCTGGCTTCCTTGTGCCAGGCTGCGACCAGCCAATGTCGTTGGCTCTGACATGAGCCCGGTGCTCAGATCTGAGGACCAATCTGGGAAGGGGCCGGGATCCACTCAAACATTGGCGTTTCAAGATCTAACCCTTAGTCCTTTTGCCAGATGGTCTTGATTTCCCTTGTGGTGCGGACTAGGACTCGACTAGGCCTAGGGATCCTATTGTCCAATGCCAAGTAGGGGTGCGGGTCCGGATGGTGGTGCTTTTTGTGCTTCCATCAAGCAAGTCCTTGGTTCTAATTGGTTGGTTTGGCTTTTTGGTTGCTCTCCAGATGGTTTGCATCTCTCGCCCGTCCAGTTTACGCTGTCTGGTTGACAGCCACTGCCAAAAGCGGATTCCTCCAAATGTCGTTGATCAGTTGTGCAGCAGCAGCAGCAGCAGTAGTAGCAGTAGTAGCGGTGGTGGTGGTAGGAGAAGGAGGAGCAGTAGCAGCAGTAGCCGCAGCCTTATCAGTAGCAGTAGCAGCAGCAGCAGCAGTTGCAGTGGCAGTAGCGGTGGCGGTGGCAATGACGGTGGCAGCAAACCGACGCATCTCGAGGCTTTTCCACCCGCCTCTACAACGAGATGATCCCCGGGCCCACCATCATAGTGCAGCCCGGGGACCGGCTGTTGGTCAACGTCATCAACGACCTGGAGGCGAGGGATGGGCGCAGGCTGCCCGGCCGTGGGACGTGGGCTTTGGGGTCAACAGATTTCCCTGTAAAAACCAGACAGCTTTGGCAACGTGTTCTATGACCCTTCTTTGGAGCAACATCAATGTTGGCCTACTTTACTATGGGGTCCTCTTTTGTGAAAGAATAAAGTGGGACTTGGTCTCGCTAGTACGCTATGTAGTATTGCCAGTATTGCCAATGCATAATTTAGTATTGCCAAGACTTGCTCTCACCCAATAATTATGTAATTTAGTATTCTTTGGTTTCCTGGTGCACAGTTTCAAAAAAGAGAGCTGCACCTTTTTCGGTCTGTGTCTTGGGAAAAGGAAATCACTTTCTATGAAAACGAACCTCGAAACAGTCACAGGATTCTGATTTAGAAACAAGCTAGTACGGCGCCTGCGACTATAAAAGCGGCCACGGCATTGTCCGTGGTTCACACAAGTGTGCGAGGAAGGGTTGGGTTGCAGGAAGATCAAGAGAGACAACAGCTTATTTAGAGGGTGTTTCGGGGCCATTTCCTGTAGATTTTCCTGAACCAAACCCATTGCAAGGTACTGTAGATATCTCTGCGGGGCTCGGTGCCATGCGATGTCGACGCGGCAGGTCCCAGCGGGCAAGGCTGCCAGCCGGGGGCCCAGAAAGAGCATCAGAAAGGAAACCTGTTCGCGGCCATGGCAGCTTCTTGCAGGGTCCACTCTACTTCACCTTTTCATAGCTTTTAACATCACATGTTGGGTGAAATCTGAAGTGAGTCTCCTGTTGGTAGGGGGATGTTTGAAAGGGGAGATAGGGAACTCCTCCTAAAGACGACAGATCTTGTTTGCTAGAACGGGGGCCGACCTTGATTTTGCGATCTGTTTTTTTCCATGGAAACCAACCGGGACGGCCAGCCCCTGCTCCAAAAACAGGATGTTCTAGAGTTTGCAGGATTTCCGAAAGGGGCTAATATCAGACCATGCCCAAGAAAAAAGTGCGCACTTGAAGTCTGATCCGTAGATGCAACTTTCGCAGTTGTATGTCCGTGCCACCCACTCTGCTTTTCCACCTAGCTCGGGAACCTTTTGGGGTGCAGCGTTCACGGCGCCTTCTAGGTCCCCGTTTACCCTTTTTTGGGGGAGGGTTCCCCTACTAAAATAGACAAAACCGAAAAACAAAATCGGGCACCAACTTGTTCTAACCTCAAACTACTGGAGGACCTAGCCTTCAGAGGGACCCCTTGTCTCCATGGCTCTCTGAGACAACAGCTACCAGCTGCCCAACACCACCAACCTCCATGTCCACGGCCCGGTGACCAAACCGGAGGGTTCGCGGCGGGCTTTTTCCAGCGGTTTGGCTGGGCCAGGACCGAGCTCCTTAGAGGGTTCCTTTTTTTTGGTTGGTGTGTGTGTGTGTGTGTCTTTCTCTATTCTCGTTTTTCTATGGGGAGGGGGGGGAAACCCACTTTTGTTGGTTCTAAATGGAAACCAACAAAAACCCACCATTCAGTGGGTACCAAGAAAAAAGACACACATTTCAACTTATCCCCAGTTTGCGAATAGTCATTTGTCCAGATTCAAGAAAATGGAGATATTCTCAGATCACCTGGTGGGACAACAAACACAAAAAATGGATATTCTTAGAGGCAATGAGCATGTGCCTGCCTTACATGCGGACCCCCCAAGAAAGGGCTTGGGCTCAAGTTTCCTTTAGACTTGGATGACATTTCCCTTGAACAGGTGTTCTTGATTCAGCCATAAGAGCCATGAACCCTCAGTAGCAGGCCCATGACTGCCATGCCCATGACACGTGCAATTGGGTTTCAAACATGTATTTTTTGGCGCTGCGAAAACACTGGCAGTGGGATGCTAGCCTGTCTTGAAGAGATGCCAGCCTCGTTTTTCATCCTGAACGGAACGTGAGTATCTTGGGATGTGAACCTCGAAAAAGTGGGCTCCCTTTCGGCTGGGGGGCCGCTTTCGGCTGGTGGGTGGGTGTGGCCGCCCTTGTGGCTCTGTGCTTTTTGGGTAGACCGATTTAGTGGTACCAGTGGTGGTCCGTTGTGACTGCCGGTCCAGGTCTTCACGTCTCGCCCAGTGCGCCGGCAGACGAAGTCTTCTTCACCGTCGTTGGCCCAAAGCAGTCGAACGTGTGCCCAAGGGTCCGAGGGTTCTGTGTAGCTGGTTATTGAAATAGGTGGTAAGACCCCCCCCCGCACAAGGAGCGGTGGGCAAGGTAATGACACAGAAGGTCAGGGCTCCCTATAGTTTCCCCAATATCCTAGAAGGTGCGCAGTGATGTTGCGGAGCGCCGCATGTGTTTGTGCAAGCTCGTGCATGCTCGCATCGCACACCTCTCCGCAATCGACCTTTTGAACAGGACCTTTTGACCGTAGATTGTCTTGCAGCTGAGGGTACCCAAGTTTTGGTCGGTGTTTGAAAGGGAAGGGACAGGGAACACCTGATGCTTGTCATCAGCGGCTCCAATGGAACGGAAGACTCGCAGTTGAATAGTTTTAACCAGGAACCGACATCATCTCAGCCTACCATTCGGAGGGCCCCTGGTTTCGACACATTTCGCCCCCTCCCGCATCTTTCCAGCTCCCATGCTCCCTTACAGTAAACAAAGCTGACCCCTCAAAAAAGTGTGGGGAGTCGGAGTAAACCAAACTGACCCCTCCAAAAAGTTGGGGGTTTGCGGCTTCCCTCTCATCCATCATTCAGCGAGTGGTTTTGATGCCACCACCTCAGTCAGCGACGAGGTACGACTACCAGATCCCGGCGGACCATTCTCCGGGCACCTACTGGGCGCATCCGCACCACCACGGATCTACGGCCGGCGCCTGAGCCATCCTGAGCCTGGCCGGACCGAAGCTCGGGAACGGGGCGGTGTATCAACGTCCCACATTTGCCTGGGGTCATTATTTTGGGTCATGGGGCTGTTTCCCGTTTAACCCACTTAGGGGGTGACTTTGATCATGGTAAGATTATGAGCCCAGTTTGCTTCTCATGAAATGGCACTGTCCATTCTTGGCTCGACTGATTATTTGACCTCCGAAGGAACTGGAAGAGTGACTTCCACGTGTATATTTGAGGCATTTCCGAGAAACACCACACTAATTTTGAGGCGGAGAACATGGCCTCATTCAAACAGACCTTTCAGACCAGATTGGCGAGTGCTACGCAAATACAAATTAAACATAGGATGATACGTTTTGTCAACGGACCTATAGACAGAGCTATGGGGAAGAGCGCGATCACGCGTCAACCTGCTTGGTAGGGCATTAAACATTGCTTATCCTTGATTTTTCCAGGGACCCCGCTGCCGGAGGTCCATGATTTTTGGTGTAGTGATTTTGATTATTCCCACATCCTTTCTGGGTCCAACACATCTCTTGTCTTTGACAATACTGATGGTGGAAAAGATTCAAGTCCTGGGTCTGGGGCCAAATGTCCAAGCTTTTATGTTTGCTTTGTTTTTTTGTTTTCGGTGGGTGGGTGTGCCTCCCTCCCCTTCAAAAAGGAGGTGGCAAAATGGATCCTAAGAGTCCAGCAGGGGATGCAGACCAGGGGGGCGTCCTGTGTTGAGGTGATGCAGAGCGGTGCCGGCGCCGCATCGCCTCTGCTGGTGGCAGACCCCCCAGGCGGAAGCGGCGTGTGCGCAACATGGTGGCCCCCCCCCGTTTTGGTTGGTACTTAAGGGACACTAACAGGAGCCAGCCATTTTGTTGGGTCCGCCAGTTTTGAGAGCCCCCTCCAATCGTTACACAAATTGAGGCACAAGTGAACAGCCAGCCACTGGGCGGGCAAGTGCTGTCTTCCCGACTTTAGGAGATTCTCGATGCTTGAGCCCACTTGCGAGTCGCTTCCTTTAGGCCCCTTTTACGGGTTTCAACAGGATGTCTGTGTTTGGTGGAATGCCTTCTCTTCCCCTCACCCGCGGTATCCGGCGGGGAAAAGTACTGTGGGTTTGCTGCAAGGCTTTCTGTCAGAGCAGCTGGCGTCCATGCCGGACCACGTGCTGATGCTGCAGCCGGCCCAGCAGGTTTGTGACGTTTTGAGAGGCGCTGATCGATGATTGTCTGATTTTTCAGATGGCGCTGGCTGTCCCCCTCCCGGGTTTGAACATGTGTTGCCCATGCAAATTCACGGCGAATTGTTCAGCGGGCCCAGCCCAGATCTCTAGCGGCCGGGGGATAAGAGGATAGCTTTTGACCGTTAAAGAGCCCCACCACCCAAAAAAGGCTGGCCTCAAAAACATGGTCACCTTGTTTGGGCAGTTGATTTTAGGCATGAGAACCCCTGCAAAAAGGCGAACAACTATTATACAGCTCACTGGCCGCCGTTTTATGCTCTCGCCTTCATTTGCTCCCTCTCCCACATGAGGGGGGGACCTTCCGATTTCGGGGCAGGGGATCGCCCACCAATTTTGCAGGGAACCTGACAGGGGGGGGGGTTCTTGGAAGACCATTTTCCTTTTGAAGGGATCCCCGAATTCCCGAATGTCGGGTTCCAAGTTAATTGGTGGGCCTTGTCTAAGAAAAGGCGACTTTGCCAGGAACATCCCCCTTCCTTTGCTGGACACGGCGGCGAAGGCTTCGGAGGACCAGCTCTTCCATGCCTCTTCAACCACAGACCTGTGGCTGGTGAACGGCGGGCAGCAGCCCACCCTGAGGCTCAGCGAAAGGTGAATCCATGCTTCGATTTTCCGTTTGGTTTTTTGTTATGGTTTCCTTTTGGTTTTCCTTTTGGCATTCGTTTTGATTTCCTTTTGACTTTGCTTTGGTGTCCTGTTGACTTTCCTTCGGTTCTTTGCTTGGATTTTCTGTATGAGTCTCTTTTGGGTCTTTTTTTTGCCACCATATGTAGATCCCTATTTTTTGTCAGCAACCCAAAGTTTGTCTCGATTCCCTTCGTTTCAGGGATCCTTGCCAGAAAACCATGCAGGTTAAAAAAAATCCGCGTTCGGTTTTTCAAGAGAAGGATGGTTGAAACAAACGGGAGAAGGACTCAAGCCCCAGATGGTTGCCCCCGGTTGCCCGGATCGGCTGGCTGCTGGCAAGGACGGTGAAGCCCAACAAGTGGCACCGGCTGCGCCTGGTGATGGCTGGCGTGGCCAACTGGCTGTACCTGAGCTTCGGCCGCTGCGAGGTGGCCCTGTTGGCCAAGGCCCGGAAGAGCCGGGGGAGGGGCGCGGGGTTGGGGGGGTTGGGGTTGGGGGTGGGTTTGCGGGGAGGTTTGGGGGGAGGTTTGCGGGGTTGGGGGCTTTGCAGCGCCCAAAATCAGAACTGCCGGGTTTTCGGTACAGGCCCGGCTAGATAGAACATCCAGGTTGGGGCAATTGTAGCCACGTGTCTTTCATGGCGATCCCTTATTTCCGGTTGGTGAATGATACAGAACGTGTCCAGATGAAGCTTGAATTCTCAGTGACTCCTGAAACGTGACATGTGATTGAGAACACTCAGTGCCAGCCAAAGTTTAAACTTTCCTCGGAGGTTCAAACATGAGAGCCAGTGAATGGACAACATCCGCTTCGTAGCAGTAACTGGGATTTCTCCAGTGGCAAGGGGAAATGGCCTGCTCTGCTCAGTGACCAGTTGCTAGTCACTGGGCTGCAATGGCATCCCTTGACACAACTCATGAGGCGACTCGAATCCGACGCGGTTCAGGCTTGGTTGTGACAAGTTGGGCATTGGAGGTCTGAACGAATCGGTCTCTCGCGGATCGCGCGGGGGGTTTTTGAAAAACGGATCCCATGGCTTCAGAATTCCGAGGACGGCATCTACATCGAGGACTTCCCCCGCTGGATCCAGCGGGTGTCCCTGCCGCCGGGGGGCCGTGCCGAGGTGGTGGCCCGGTGCCCGAAAAGCAACGAGGACGAGGACGGGGACGGGGGACTGGGTGAGGGTGGGAGGATACATTTGGGGGTTTTCAACAAGGGATCCCCCTGAAGATGGCTGGTTTTCTGTGGGACCCCCGCAAAATGGTTGGTTTTCCGTAAGTCCCCCGAAAATGGTTTGTTTTCTTTACCAACCGCAAGGCAGACCATTTTGGGTAGCTCGCAGTTGGGGTCTCCAAATTTGGAGATCGACCCTCGAAGAATTGTTGGTCTTCTTTTGGTCTCTCCAAGAAGCGCCAACCGAACGTTTTTTTCCAAAGAGGAACCTACCAAAAGTGTGCCAGGTTTTGTCAGTGACACATTTGGGAGTTTCCAACAGAAGCGGGGCTCCTTTTCGTTTTCCTTCATCCGTGTCCATGTTGTTGGGGTTTGCCGTTTCATTCCAAACTAATCCCTGAAAATGTGGCTTTGGCAAATGAACCGCCCAGAAGAGCTTCTCGGGGTCGTTTCCTTTCGGTTTCTTGGAGAGTGCCAACCCAAGTAGTGCTGGTCGGTTCCCTTTTCCAAGAAGCTGACCCCACTTGGGAAGCTGATGTTCAGCCAGGTTCAGCTTGTCACCGGCTTTTCCAGGGGTTGATTCCCCATTCTTCCCAACCATCCTTCCTTCCAAAGACCGGCCGTTCTCCCTGGGTTTCCGGCGGTTTTCTAGAAAGATTCGGCTCCCTGGGCTCAGCATGGGGAAGGTACCCTTGGAGCTTTTGGGCGTTCCAACTGCGCTTCCTGCCGCCAGGACTCCAGGGAGCAGGTGCTGTCCAGCGCCGCTCCTAGCGCGGGCGTGCGGAGCTACGTGGGGCCCCTCTTCAGCTTCCGCGTCGCCGGGGTCACCGAAAACGGCCGGGACCTGGAGCCCTGGAAGCCTCGCACCAGGCGCGGAGGCCGACGTTTTTTCCATTGGGGGGGCGGGGGGGGAGGAAATTGAGGTATGTGTGGATCTGATCCACCCATTCATCTTCGAAGCGCTGTTTTTTTGGGATAGGGAGTCGTTGATTCGACGAGCTTTCTTCCTGATGCTCAAGACGATCTGTTTGTTGATCTTCACGCCAATTGATGCGTACCAGGCCTAGCTACCTGCAAGACTTGCGGGGTGAGCTGACGCAGCCAGACTGCTCCTGCAAGACTGCCATGGGCTTGGGCGCCGGGACGCGCTCCATCGACGGCCACATCTTCCAGGGTGCCAAGGCCCGGGTGTGGCAAGCTGCCTGGCGAGTTTTTGTTCGCTTTGGTGGACAGAAGAGGGGAGAGGAGAAGGAAGTGGGTTTTCCGGGGTTGATTTTGGGTGTTTTCAAGTTTTTTTGTTAGGTGTGTGTGTGTGTGTGTGTGTGTGCGTGTGTGTGTGTGTGTGTGTGTGTGTGTGTGTGTGTGTGTGTGTGTGTGTGTGTGTGTGTGTGTGTGTGTGTGTGTGTGTGTGTGTGTGTGTGTGTGTGTGTGTGTGTGTGTGTGTGTGTGTGTGTGTGTGTGTGTGTGTGTGTGTGTGTGTGTGTGTGTGTTTGTGTGTTTGTGTGTTTGTGTGTTTGTGTGTTTGTGTGTTTGTGTGTGTGTGTTTGTGTGTTTGTGTGTTTGTGTGTTTGTGTGTGTGTTTGTGTGTTTGTGTGTTTGTGTGTTTGTGTGTTTGTGTGTTTGTGTGTTTGTGTGTTTGTGTGTTGTGTGTGTGTGTGTGTTTGTGTGTTTGTGTGTTTGTGTGTTTGTGTGTTTGTGTGTTTGTGTGTTTGTGTGTTTGTGTGTTTGTGTGTTTGTGTGTTTGTGTGTTTGTGTGTTTGTGTGTTTGTGTGTTTGTGTGTTTGCGTGTTTGCGTGTTTGCGTGTTTGCGTGTTTGCGTGTTTGCGTGTTTGCGTGTTTGCGTGTTTGCGTGTTTGCGTGTTTGCGTGTTTGCGTGTTTGCGTGTTTGCGTGTTTGCGTGTTTGCGTGTTTGCGTGTTTGCGTGTTTGCGTGTTTGCGTGTTTGCGTGTTTGCGTGTTTGCGTGTTTGCGTGTTTGCGTGTTTGCGTGTTTGCGTGTTTGCGTGTTTGCGTGTTTGTTTGCGTGTTTGCGTGTTTGCGTGTTTGCGTGTTTGCGTGTTTGCGTGTTTGCGTGTTTGCGTGTTTGCGTGTTTGCGTGTTTGCGTGTTTGCGTGTTTGCGTGTTTGCGTGTTTGCGTGTTTGTGTGTTTGTGTGTTTGTGTGTTTGTGTGTTTGTGTGTTTGTGTGTTTGTGTGTTTGTGTGTTTGTGTGTTTGTGTGTTTGTGTGTTTGTGTGTTTGTGTGTGTGTGTGGGTGTGCGTGTGCGTGTGCGTGTGCGTGTGCGTGTGCGTGTGCGTGTGCGTGTGTGTGTGTGTGTGTGTGTGTGCGTTTGTGTGTTGTTTTTGATGTGGTGTTGAAGTTTGTTTTTTGTTTTAGAATTCAAGAAGCCCTTATCCCCTGGCCTTTGTAGAGGGTAAACGGGAAACCACCAATCCAAACCCCCACCAAGCCAAACCACGAATTTGCGGGAAGCTGAAGAATGGTTGGCTTCATAAGCCGTACAGGGCATGGTATGCCTGGAAAGGCCTACCTGCACCAGTGGCCCCGGGACGCCGTGGCTGAGCGGCACCTGTCCGGGCTGAACAAGCACAGCGTCTTGGCAAAGATAGACTGTGGTCAAGGATCTTGCTAGGAGGTTTGCATGGCTTTGGATGAGGACGCCATGATGTTCAACACGAGGGTGTTGACCAATCTGAGCATGGCACATGTAGGCAATGAGGTTTGTTGGCTCCAGAAAAAGGTTTTGGGAAGGCTCCGGTTGGATTCGATCTTCTCAATGTCCTCCGATGCTTTTGCAGCTTACAGAGCTATGGCCAGAAGCACTTTGGACCCCTGGCTAGTACCACCCAACCGAGGTTTCCATCAGCACACCTGGCCATTCCAGCTGCAGGAGACGCCTGCTGGCAATGATCCATTTTTCAAGGCGGGAGGGAAGACACGTCACATGTTGTCCAAGAAAACACATGGTGCCAACATTTGGAACACGCATTGTTACTAGATGATATGGGTGGGTCAAAATTAAACCAACACGGGACCGCAGGTTTTTGTCCACATACTTGTTTTTGGCAGTTGGGCCATACCGGCTTGTTTTGGCAAGGCTGGCGACTGGCACGACACCTACCAGAATGTGCTGGATGCGGAGGCCAGATTTGGGGACCTTTGGTCTAGTGAATGTGAAAGCACAGGGACCCCAAAATCGAACGTCGGAACCAGTGACGTCGAGTTGTTCAAGGCATAGGAGAGGTCTGGCGGAGCCACAGTACCAGAATGAGACCTGGAAAAGAAAAGCACCAAGCGTTTGTTCAACAACCGAAGGACACGCCCCAAATTGGGCAGGCCTTGCGCCTCAGCGCTTCGATTTTTTGGCCCAGTGCAGCTTTCCCGACACGGTACATCGAAGTGTCATGCTCAAAGTTATTAAAATGGCAGGTCTTTGCGGGGTTTCTCACCACCCCCAAAGTCAGTTGGGTGTGCCCTTTCTTCAGGGGTCCCTCGCAATTGGTGTTTTGCCATTTGGGTATGGGTCAAAATTTTCACCACCAGGATATGGACCACAGGTTTTAGCCCTTCTTTCCATTTACCAGGGTTCCATTTTGGGTACATATTCTTGACCCACAGCCATTTGGGTGTGCCCTTTCTTAAGAGGTCCCTCACAACTGTGTATTTTCCATTTAGTTCTCCGTTCCAAAAAGTGGTACCAAAATGGCACCCCAAGGTAAATGAGGCCAAAGCCTAAGACCTGCGTCACCCCATCTCTCTAGTGTTGAGCCATGCCCAAAGGGCCCGAAGCCATGCCACCGGAGGCGCGGGTGCGCTTCAGCACGGTGGACTTCTCCGGCGCGGAGGTGGTGCCGCGCTCGGCGGCGTCAAAAGCCCGGTGAGCCCAGCGAACATTTGATTCAATCCAAGCACTGAAATAGGAAGCCTAAAATGGGTGGCGAATGAATTCACCTGCCAAAGTGGGATCCCCAAAACGGTTTTGACAACCACAGCCAAGTGGAAGTGGGCGATCTCCTCGCCGCTCTTTTTGTGGCAGAAGGCATGGCATTTGCCCTTCTTAGACCCTGTGGCTGCCACTGATGCTCTCGGAACCTGAAATTGATAGCACCCCTTGAAAGTGCAGAGCGAGCACAGCCTCCCGTGTTTGGCTCATTCGCAGATCGACTTGCTGCGTGTTTGGTGGATCCACGACACCAGCGGTGTCACGCCACAACGAAAAACATCAAACAACAAACACATGGTGGTTCAACTAAGAAGCACTCCCATCTAGTTCTCTCGGTGGGAGAACCCACGTCCATGGTTTGAGTCAGAGAGTTGGGCCGCTGTGCAACCGCGTCTGTTTGTGTTGTGGGCCTTGCCGGACCCATAGCGGCCATCAAAATGAAAGTAGTCCTAGATATCCCAAAACACGGAAACACATGTGTGTCAAAGTGTGCGTGAAAGCTGGGACCCTCCTCGCAATAAACCAATCTGCACGTGATTCTTGGCTAAATCAACTGGTTTTGTTCCTCCTTCTCGCGGCTTTTGCTCCTTGGCTTGGACCTTTTCAAGCCAAAGGGAAGCCAGAGCATTTGACATCAGAGCCTTCCGCTACAAGCGAGCGCACTTCGCCTCAGGTGCACTGCCACGCTCTCGCGCACTCGGACTGGGCTGCTGAAATGTCGCGGGTTTGTCTCTAGGTGGGCCTCTACATGGGTGGGGCGTCTCTTTGGCGTCCCTTTTAAGCCATCGCAAAAAGGCCCTTTGGCTCAAAACGAGACAAGGGCTGGCAGGGCTCCCGATGCCTGGGGCCGGGGGTTGATTTTTTGGGTCCCATGTAGACCCCCTAAAAAGATCAAAAACGCAAATGCATCTAGGAACTCCAGAGTTTGGCCTTGCAGGATCAGGGCATGATCGGCGCGGAGGTTGTCGCAGGCAGGTCTGGTCTGTTCTTTTGCGCCTGTTGGTGGTGACTTTTTTGGAGGCTGCCCATTTCGGGGTTGCTTTCATAAAGGGAAAACCACCCATTTTGGAGGTTGAGACATCCGGTGGAGGACCTGAGTATGTTTCTGTTGGAAGGGCGGGGGGCTACGCCCCAGAACCCTGAAAATGCACATTTGTTTGCTTTGACCCGCAAACACAGGGTACAATGTACAGGGTCAGAAAAAAGGTTGAGAGGCGATGTTTCTGTTTGCCAGGCATGGCTCGAGGCTCTGTCGGACGTTTAGTTGGTTTGTTGGTTTGTTGGTTTGTTGGCTGGCTGGCTGGGTGAGTTGGTGGGTAGCTGCTTGGTTGGTTGGCTGGCTGGCTGGCTGGCTGGTTGGCTGGTTGGCTGGTTGGTGGGCGTTTGGTTGGCGGTAGCTTGCTATGGCTCTTGTTCGCTATGAGTCTCAACGGTTGGAATACCCTCAAAACTGGCTGAGAAGGACAGCTGGAATCATGCCTGTGACTTTCACCGGTTTACGGTACATGGTTAGAATACCCTCACTTCTTTTTCAGGGTATCCTTTTTGGGTTGGTTTCAAGAACCCCCCCCCCTTCCATTTTGTAAGAGTATCCCATTTTTAGACGCCGCATCCAATGTGGAGTGAATCCATTTGGCCGTGGCTCAAAAAATGGAGCCAAAGACTAAAACCTGCGGTCCATATCCTGGTGGGTTTATTTTGACCCATACCCATTTGTCCCCCCCGCCCATTTTGTACGGGTTTCCCATTTTGGGACCCCGCATCCAACGTGGAGTGCAGTGAATCCATCTGTCCAGAGCTCCGCCCCCAATCGATTGCCATCCCCGTCAGGCCGAGGCCCGGCAGCCTGCCACTGCGATCTGCTCGGCGAGGATCGACCGAGCCGGCGTCGACCGAGTCGAGCGTCGGCTCATCGGCGGTGGCTGGGTGAAATTTCGCGGGAAGCCGGAAGAATGAGCCCCTAGGAAAGCCTGGAGCATGATCCCTCATGAAAGGAGCAAGGGAAAGTAGTCTAGCAAAGTGACATTTCCGGAAAGGAGCACCAGAAAGTAGTGTATTCAAAATCGATGGGTACCAAACCAAACCCGTGGGAAAATGGGGGGGCTAATCACGTCAAATGGGACACCACGAAGAATGACCGTGGATCCCATCAATTGAAAGACGGCATGAAGCCATTGCCATTTAGCGAGGGTCCGGAAATATCTAAGTCCGGGTCCTCAATTTTGGCATTCGGCTTTTCAAGCAAAACCCTGAGGGATGGTAAAGGCCACAACGAGTGAGGTTTGAGTTCAACCCTCAAGGTTTCAAGACACCTGTACCAGGGGTGTTTTTTTTTTGAGACCTCGGAATGCATGGCTTTGAACAGAATACTGCACTAGTCGGAGGTGCACTCCTAAGATGGATTTGTTCCCCACAGAACCACTTAGCGTTGGCGTGACGCCTGATTGCTCCGATGTAGTTTTCTTTTCATCCAAGAACGCCTCGCGCATTCAATGGAAGCTTGGGCAGCCATACGGCGCACAAACCCCAAGTGACCCCGCTCTTCTGGCTACTCGGTTTTGCGACGGCCGCACAGTAGCCATGGTCTTCCTGCAGCCATGGTCCTCATGCTTTCTCTCTGCCCTTCACGCGATTGTTTAGCTTTTGTCCCTCACCTGCCTCTATCTCTGGCTTAAAGCGTGAATCTCAAGTGAAAGCATTGGGCCCTTGCATGCAGAAAGGGTGTACCATGAAATCCCGCACCCCTCCCCGTTTGTAGAACAGGAGCCCCACAACTGTTGACTTGAGCCCCAGTCCCAGCTCGAGCTTGCAGGCCAAGGAGACCGACCTTCTCGCAGATCAGACCAGTGCCCCAAGCTGCAAGGAGGGCGTTCGGTCCAGTTTTGCACATTTTGGCTCGCTACCTTGAGAAGGCAAAACAAGGAAGGGCATGAGTGTTTTCAGCCCTTCAATGGGTCTTCATCAAAATGAGTTGGTGTTGGCACCCCAATTTCAACCCTCCATCTCCAAAAACAGTGTTGGTTTTGACAACCAGCTGGCCACCTCTCGTGTGGATGCGAGGTGGAGACTTCTACAAAATTGGCTTCTTGCTTTTTTCAGCCATTCCGTGCGAGGCCTCAGCATCCTGACGGCCGGAAGCTCAGTCACCTTCCCGTAGCCTTGGCATTGGGCACTCACAGACTCGCGGCCGCCGAGGCGGCGGGCCTGCTTTGCCTGTCCATGGTGGTCCTCGCCGCGCTCATCGCTGGACAGGCTGGGGCCTCCGCAGTTGCGCCATATCGAATTGCAGCACACAGAGCTTTTTGGGGCCCTTCTTCGTTCGTAAGTTCGGGGGGCAAACAACCCACACTTAGTGCAGCATGCAACGGTACGTGGAACTCATTTCTTGTTTTGTGACCCGGACTCTCCCCTTCCGACTCCTGCTCCGGTCATGACAGCTGGAGTCTATCTCGATCACTGGTCGACCTCCCCCCCAAAGTCGCTTCAGCGCTAAGCTGAAGGTGGAGCACTTCACTTTAATTACGCGGTCCATACGGCAGGGACGCATGCGCTTCCTCCAATGGTCCAAATCAGCAGTTCCGACCGTAGCCAGGGCGATGCACAGCTCGGCTCTTGGTAGGAAGATGAGAATGCGCCCCCCCCCCCCCCCAATGGATGCGAATGACAACAACTGAGAACAAGGGGAGAACAGCACTCCCCTCAGCCATTCCATCAAGGCACCAACCTTTTGGGTGCTTGGAAACGGCCTTGTTGTAGTTGAGTGACCCCACCGGCCCCACCAAAGTCCTTCCTTGGTGGGTGAGACGAGGTTGCTACGATTCTCATACAGCCAGTTCCCCTGCCAATGGTGGCGCAATGTTTGGACCCATTGCTGTCTTTTTTCTAGCCATATAATGGAAACTTTGCTGTTGAGGGGCCTACCCTAAGTATTTCTATGCGGTTGGATGTTAGACTGTGATACCAACGGAGCTCCCTTTCAAAGGTAAAGATGCTCCACGTCGGTATCACAAAAGGCGCTTCTTTTGCACCACCTAGGTTTTACCCACAGGGACTCGCACGAGTTTCCAGAAGAAAAGAAAGCAACAACAATCTTTACCCGCAGGGACTCACAAGTTTCCAGAGAACCAACACGACAAGCACAACACGATCTTCACGTGTTTTTTTTTGCCCCATGGGAGACACAGGACACACCCCACCGTCTCCTGGGGCGGGGGGGGGGGGGTCGGGAGGTCGGGACGGGCATGGCGCAGGTGGTGCGCCAGGCGCGGCGCCTGGAGGGCAGCTATGCGGCTTTGGCTGAGGGCCCCTGAGGCGGGAAGGAGATTCTTGGGAGGAGCTGAGGGGAAGCAGTTGGAGGGGTCAACTTGTTGCTTTTTTGTTTGTTGTTGTTTTTTGTTTGGGGGGGGAAGGGGGGACTTGTTTTTTGGGGGTTGTTTTTGAGAAGAACCAAGTGGAAACCAGTGTTTGGGGGGAAGGCGCAGGGACTCTTCTTGTAGTAGTTTTTTTGAGGGGAACGAAGAGGAAGCCAGTGAGGCTTCCCAATCTTGCAGCACAACGCACATGGATGTGTCGGTTATTTTTAGATGGAACACGTGTTGTGCAAGTGTTGTGCAAGTGTGACAAAGGACTGGATGTCTTGGTGTCACACGTGTTTGCACGGTGTGCCTGCAACGTGTGACGCAAGCCTTCTATTTCCCTTTTTGGAGGGATCAGCGGTTGCCTATTTATGCAAGTGGTGCAATGTTTGAGAGTATCATGATCGTCAACATCACCGCAGGGATATTTGTGCGCGGCTCTTTGGTGCCACTTCAGGGGATCCCCAGCAGATGCCATGCCGCGCCCGCAGCTGGCGCTTTGTGCGTGCTGCACGAATCGTATGCTGCGCGCGCAGCTTTTGGGGGTTTTGCAACACCCAGATTTTCAGGCTGGGCGCAGCACGTTGGCGCGCCTGAAGCCTCGAGCTTTCCAATGATTTCAATCCGCGCGATCTTCAATGTTCTTGGATCAAGAGTGTGGCTTCTTTGGTTTTTGGGTTCTGTTCATTTTTGGCGGGGGCCGCAAAAAGCAGAGTTTTTTGCCAGCATACCAAGGGTTGTGATGCCATGTACAGGGGGGTCCCGACCTCTGCGGGTTTGAAGTCCCGCTTTTCGCTGCGCCCGGCGGGGCCAAATGCAGCCTGCTTGCGAATGGTTTTCAGGCGCCGTGGCAGTGCACTAAGTGCATGTGCGGCGGGAGGGTCGGCGAGGCTGCCTGAAACGGGAGAGTTGTGTTTGATGAGGAGTAGTGGAGTGATGCTGCCTGTGCGGGATCCACAAAGCTTCCTTCGCTTGGAAGGTTGTTCGATCGCTTTTGGGCCAGTTTGCAGCCACAACTGACTCGCTTTGGGCAGGTCTGGTCTTTTGGAGTCCAAGACGTGGTTGAGCCTCTCATAATGCAGCATTACATGAGCAACGGACGGTGCTGGGGGTTTTAGGGGTGGTTGCCGTTTGGTTTCCATTTGTGGACTCCCTAAGCTCTTTGGGCCGCTCTCCGTGACCTCCGTTTCCTTCCAGATGGGCGATCGAAGGAAGGGCGCCCTGGGCTTGCTCCCTTGATCAAACAACGGAACCCTGATCTGGCTCTGGGTCAAACCTGGGTACCCAAAATGGAACCCTGGTAAATGGAACCAGAAACTAAAACCTGCGGTCCATATCCTGGTGGTTCAATGTTGACCCATACCCATCTCTTCATACCCACCTTCCTTTCGAAACTTCAACTGCCTCTCTAGGCTGGTTCCCTCTACACGGTGCGGGATGGGGAGGCGAGGATCGGATTAGATGAAGATTGGTCGGGTTAGCTCCAGGGGGTTTCACGTGGCGAGAAGAGCCGCAGGGATGATCATTGGGATTAGGTTAGCTCAAGTTTTTGCCCATGGAGTCCATTTATGGTTAGTAACCCTTAAAAGGGTTAGGGCCACAAACGTGGAAACCTGAAGGGGGAACCCTCTGGGATCCTTTGGAAGGAAATCCTCTTGCTTGCAGCACTTGTTGGGGATTTCACAGAATACTGTTTCACTGGTAGTGGACAGTTGGCATGCATTCTTCATGAACACCTGTTCAAGTTCATGGCTTGGTGCGACGCAAGGCTTGGCCCATGTCTGCCAAGAGTCTCGCACCTTTAACTTTGAAGTGAGAGGAATTTTACGGAACCAAGCGTTGGCCAACTGGTTGGCCGGGAAGCCCCTCGTTGCGGGAGACGTGGAGTCAAAACAGGGGGGGAACCGAGTCAGTCTTCGGGCCTGGATTTTGGGATTGCCTTCCCATACATTTCAGACATGCACTCTTTGCTTGTTGGCGGGCTAGCTGGCTGGGCCTGGATGCTAGGAGGTTTAGTCGGTTCTGCTTGCCTGCCTGCCTGCTTCTGTTTGCTTGACTGCCTTCTGTTTGCTTGACTGCCTGCATGCCAAGCAAGCACTTGAGCTCTTGGCCCGCTTGATGCTATTGGTCCCATGACAAATCCCCAGGAGCTGGGCATTCCGCTCGCTGGCCGCTGCGCGGCCGGGCTGGAGTGGCGCACAGCAGGCGCGGAAGCGCGACAGCTCGGGACGGCTCGGGACGGGGCTCGGGACGGGGCTCGGGACGGGGCTCGGGACGGGGCTCGGATGGAACGGGGGTTGAGGGGGTGGGGGGGGTTGAGGGGGTGTCTGTCAAGCCAAGCAAGCTGCGAAGATGACTCTGCACCCTTCTTCAGAGTTTCGCTTTTGAGGGTACCCCTGGGCGTTTTGACCAAATTGCTCAGGTCAAGTAGAGCCTGGGCCTAGGTAAAGCGCCACGCGGCTACATGCAAAGACTCAGAACCCAGCACCGTGTGGTTTTACCAGGGCTCTCACAGAAGGGGTCCGACGCGATTCGGGTTTTCGAGCGAGCCCCATCAACGGACATCGAATGACTTGCCCTTTGCAATCGAGGGTCCTTGCGTTCTTCTTGAGTGAGTGTGTGTTTGGCGGGGTGATGTTCAAGGGCACACGAAGAGCCACGCCAATTCGAGCATCCCTCTGTGTGGGTGTTGGGCGTGCGGGCAAAAGATATCGGCCCAAAACGGCACCCCGTTTTGAGTCTCACTTGGAAAGACCAATGTTGATTGAAATTCTTTGGCAATTCCAACAGTGAGTGTTTGGAAGGGTGACCAAATGACTGTCGAACTTCCTGGGGCGACGTTCACAGTGGGAGGCTTGGCCCGTCTCAGGCGCCGACCTCCGCGTCAAGGGCGCTGGCGTCTTCGAACGGTACCGGGGCCGGCCACGCAGCACTCAGGAGGTGCCTCTGCAAGGGCTTGGGACCGGGAAGGAGAAGGGAATCCCGAGGCTGTTTTATTGAACCGCAGGGAGCTTTCAAGGAGATTGCTGAAACAAAAGCGTGTTTTTGAGGATCTTCTCTCAAACAGGTAAATTGACTCGTTCTGATTGCAGGGTGTGTGGGCCATGTGGTACGGCTGGGTCTCCAAACCACGGAATGAGCAGCACCGCTAAACCAAGCATGTCTCTCACCAAAAGCTGCGAGAGACGCTGTTTCGCCAAGGAAGACCATTGATTAGGGTCGGGGTCAGGGCTGCGATCTCACTTGCGAATGTGTGGAGTGGGTGGTTTTATTGGGTTCAATAAGTTTGAGAAAGGCCCAGATGACAAAATGTAATGCTGGTAGAACCAAATGTGAATGGGTTTTGAGTGCGGCTCCCATCGACTTCGAGTGGTGCCAAAGAAGGGCCCCTCTTGGATGTGACACCGTTTTCAGCTCAGGACCCCAAGTGGCAACATGGCAACGTCTTTTCGGGTGTCGTTTTGTCGCCTTGGGCCCAAACCATGTTGACCCCTGCCAAGAGGCATGGTGAGATGTGCAAGTTTCAGGATGGCCTTCTTGTGGTTGAGAAAGATGGTTATGAGTCCTTCAAAGTTGGAATCTCAGACAGCTACGAGTCCTACTCATGGCCCAAGTTTCTGGCCGGAGGTTCTGTTCCGTTTTGCAGCAATGGGAGAACCTGTTCACGGACAAATTTCATGACCACTCCGGGCTTGGGCTTGGCTCCTTTCAGCGACCTAGCGCGAATCAAATCCCCAGGCCCTGAGAAGTGCACCCATGACCCAAACGGGCGGTGTGTGTTTTTTGGGTACCGTTTCGGTGGGTTTCAAAGGAAAACCCGCCAACTGCATGTCGAGGCCTTCGATGAGGAGCGAGGGCTTGGGGGGGGAGGAGTCTGGATTTGGGCGGCCAGGTTTAGCCGGGGAGGGGGCTGGGAAAGAAACTCAACCTTGAGGTGGAAAATCAAGCCTCAGTCCTGATGGACAATTGGATACAATTGGGGTTTCTTAGGGTGTTGGGTGTTTGCTGGGGGGTTGTTGGGGGGCTGTTGGGGGGTTCCTTGGGTAGTTTTGTGTAGTACACGAGTGTGCAAAGATTGCAGGCATATTTTTTCTCGTGGCACTTGCACTAATCTCCAAGCAATGAATATCCAAGAGCAGTTGGTTGAGCGAGATTGCTGGAGGCTGGGCCAGTTTCACCGGTGCCAAGCTGTGATGAAATTTTCCTCTGACGCAGTAAGGTCAATGCTGAAAGGCAGAAGGTTTGAGGGCATCGGCTTTGGGTAAGTTTCTTGGGAACGAGACTTGGCTTGATTCTATGGGGGTGTGGGTCAAAATTACACCACCAGGACCGCAGGTTTTGGTCCATGCCACTGTGTTCCATTTTGGGTACCTATTTTTGACCCACAGCCATTTGATGCGATTTGGCAGGACGGCTTCTTTTGCAAGACGGGTCACCGCGCTGTCAATATCGAGGCGCGGTCGGCGGTCAGTGTGCCTGGCAGCTCAGCTCCGTAAGTTCATGCGGCCCTTGCTTGGGGCCCAGGCGCCAAAGTCACACACTGCTTTTGCTCTTCCTTGCGATCGGCGCGAGAGCTGCGGGGAAGGAGAAATGGAATGACCCCAAGAAACACCATCCCGCAGGTGGTTGCCTTGATTCGGGAATCCCCAGGTTCATTCCATTTCTCATTCCCTACTGACTGAGCACCAGTCAATTGACTGGCTGGTTGGAGACGAGGTAGGCAGGGGTCTGGTTTACCACAAAACAAAGAGCAAACGAGGAAACGCAAGTTGTTGACCATTCCAACTCATTCCCTACTGAGCACCAGCAAGATGAGTTGGCCTAAAGATGATGTCCTCAAACAAGCAAAAGGGGAGCAGCACTGCAGACGAATCAGTGAATAAACCCAGGGTCATGGAAGTCCATGGAATGGAGCAACGCTAGGAAGGAACACAAGGCAGCTCACTTGCAGTGAG